TCATTTATGGTCAGTATGAACACATTTATACTGATCATACAACGAAGATTTGTCTAAATACAATATCGGTTCCGTTAACGCACTACAAAACATTCTCTCTCTTTTTCATTACAACGAATCCTCAAAACCAAACTAAAAACAAAATGAGATGAAAATTTTTGAATCATTTTAAATATTCATTGCGAAAGGAAAACTGCACGAAATATCTCGTGCAGTCGTCATCAAGCACCCACCAGTATCAGTCAAAACTCTCTTCTTCGCATCACCCCCAGTACTGTCCAATGCGGCCTCACGTGTTCCATTTATCATGCCAAATTCTCGTTCTAATGCACTCCGAATTGCCTTCAAATGAATTTTTGACATTTTGCAATCGGAGTTGACGAAATATATAAACATTGATACATAATATGCACATGTGTACAAGTAGAATTTCATCAAAGCATAATACATCAAACATTTCCCATAACATAAGATAAGCAACAATCATTATAAGTGTCCATGCAAATCAACTATTTCGGACTGCCCAAATATTACCTGTGCACTCTTGGCGAATGACAGATCCTGCTTATTGCATGCGACGAGTGTGTTGACTCGTTTCGGTGACTCGAACAAAACATCATATAAGAATTCAGCCACATCTCGCGATCGCTTACTGAACGTTGCACTATCAACCAAAAATATCACCGCTTTCAGAGAGGATGCTTTCTGAAAGATATTCGAATTACCAATGGTAAAACTGACTGAAGTTGAGGTAACGAAACGATCAAACACAATCAGATTGTCGCACAATGATGCATAAGAAAGAAAAGTAAAGAAAAAATTCTTTGCTCTCATTTTCACCTTACGAATTTCTTTGTCAACTTAGCGAATACCAAACACCAAACCGGAATAATTTTCTATGAATAATGAAAATGTTCTTTTTTTCGAACAGATGAACATTTTCATTTTTTTATATTTTTTAATCGCAAAGTAAAAAATGAAAATGTTCACCTGCTCGAAGTAATGTTCAAAGAGGTGTTTCCTCAGTTTTTCAGTTCCTGGAAAATCAATCAGTGTTAGCGATAAACCATTGACTGTCTGGAAATCCTCGTAAATATTTGGCGTTATTGATGAATACGTAACCGGAGTAGATTCTGAAAAGAATTTTTTTTTGAAATGAAACTGAATATTATTCGTATTACAGATGATTCGAACCGGAACATCAATGCACTTCGATACAACACTTTTTGATACCTGAACTTGGCGAAAAACAATGCGACTTTCCACAAAACACCACTGAATTTCCAAAAATTTTGCGAAAGTTCCCAACATCTGCCGAAAAACTGCACCGCAACGAACGCTAATTGAACCCACTTTTCCGGATGAGTTTGGAGAAGAGAATCGTTTTTCCGGAGTCATTCAGTCCAACAATGAGCACTGTGTTCGCTCGAGCCGAGAACACTCGTTTCACGAAGATTGCAATCAACGTTATCAGCACACAACAAACGGCCACCACGATCGCCACCAACGTTCTCGTATCATTTTCAATTGGCTCGATTGTAACGTCTGACATGTCAACCGATAACACAGCGATGATTACCTCGAAATGCAAACAACTCCTTCAGCAATGATATGCAATAATCATTTTCGAGAACTTTTTCTCATTCATTTCATATACTTCCGGCGATAAAACAAAGCTCTCGATATGAAAAGAATCTGCGGTTGGGAAATATCTGATCCTATTTAGGAGTACAGAAAATGTGTTTGGAAAAAA